GACAGCTTTCAATTTAACAAAATTAGTTAAGAAAAGAGCATAACTGTCTTACTTTCCAACTGTTTCTGTTTCATAATCGTTCTTCCTATTTTTAGAATAATCTTCACCAATCTCCAGCCTTGGCCCCTATGTAAAATAATTAGAAGTTCTAGCCCAAATATGTTACCTCATATGAATCTTCTGGAACACTGTATTCCTTTTCTTCTCCCTATATTGCCATAACTACAACAAGTGTCTTTTATTGCTTACTTTCTTTCCATCATTAGGAGTACCAATAGTTTTAACAGTCCCAGCCACAAGGTTACCATTCTCATTGAAAGAATAGCCAATTTGCTTGATTAGTGGTTTTTGTTCTGAGGCGGGCAAAAGTGCAACTTTAATCTGCTTTTCAGCTGCTAATACTTCAACTTTGATCTTCCAACCAATTTCATTGCTTATGTCTAATGCAACTTTGTCCTCCTTTAAATAGGAGACTATAAAAACTATCACTTGATAATACTCTCACTCACAGTCAGTGCTTTGAGTTCCTCAGAGCTGAAAGTTGCTATAGCATTATACTCAATCCTAGAAGTGCCAACTAGTATGAAGACATTGCCACTATCATTCTTCCCAACCTATAGCATAATCATTATATCAATGTTGCAGCTGCATTTACAAAGATTCTAAAAGTACTCATACCGGTAGCAAGATAGCAATGTTGTCACAATGCTACTCATAAAACTTTGTACTTTGATAAGTATACTATTATATCATACTAGTTAGCTGACCTCTGCCCACATGCATCTATCAGTGATATTGTCTTCAATGTCCATCTCCATCCATACTTCAGTTGCTTTCTTTGACTTTTATAATAAGAGAAGATAAAATGATGATATGACCACATCATGTAAAGCAATGTATGTTGTACGCAATAATTATGTATTGTATTAAACATCTGCTTAATTAATGCAAATCAATTGTTGCATTTAAATTTGATTTACAAATTAGAGTACATTATCAATGATCGTACACCATCAATTTTCGGACACTTGTTTTAGGAAAACTATACATTGCCATCTCATGAAACTGCAAAGTATTATAGCAATAGTTATCCTTTATTTGCGTGACAAAACTTGTAGCTCTAGCAAGAGTGCATAGAAAGTTATAAGCTCTCAAAGCGTGGTGTCCGACAATACCAATGATCGGCCAAAATTCTCAATCTTCGGACTGTCATTTCTGAACGACAGCCAAGGATAGTTTTAGAAGGTCACTATGATAACTTTGTAGGCCTGTCTTTAAACTAACTATCACCATCCGGATCTTTTTGATAGCT